CAAACATTTTTAAAATTCTTTCATTAAACGTTTTTCAAAACTTCATCATACATTTTTATCAAACATTTTTGCAAAAACATACTCATTAATTTTCACTTTTTGAAAATAAATAAAAAGGAGGAAGAAAAACATTTTTTGAGCAAGACAGTTTCTCTCTTGGGAGCTAATCTTAAAAATTAGAAAGTGTCACTCTGACATATAAGCTCGTGGTGCGAACCGGGACAAGAAATGAAAAAATTATAGGGAAATATTTGATGGGGGCAAGCAGAACAAATTGAGACAAATCAATAATTACAAGGGTAAACTCTGGTGTAGAAAAATGAAAACATCCAAACCGAGAAGAGAATGAAGACTATTCACGCATCCATTCTCAACCACATCAAGAAAACATGCATTTATATATGTTACATGAATTTGCATCTTTGCATCATACATTCACCATTTCATACAAACATGATAAATTTTGATTTCCCTCACCAGCGGATGCTTTTCAAAATTCACTTGAAACTTTGATTTACATGAGACCATCTTCTCATCTCATAAGGAAAATTTGAAAAACTCATTTTCAAAGGGATAAGAAAAAACATCAAACGAGTTTCATCTTGACAACCATAAGAACACTTAAGATAGTTGTGTTCATATATGCATATCTTTTTACAAGTCTTTCAGGAAAAATTATGAAGACTAGATCTCCTTAAACGAGAAGGAGCAATGTCAACACCATATTTTACATCAAACAATTTGCCTGAAAGCGACCAGATCTCTTCAATGTGGATTATCAATGTCATCTTCAACACCAAATTATCTCCATATTAACCCAACCACATCAATGAGAAGGAACAATGTTATCTTCAATAAACAATTTACCCGAAAGCGGTCTGGATGAGCAATGTCATCTTAAACACTAAATTATCTCCATATTAACTCGACTTCCTAAATGAGAAGGAACAATGTCATCTTCAATAAACAGTTTACCATAAAGTAGTCAGATCTCCTCAATGTGGATGAGCAGTGTCTTCTTCAACACCAAATTATCACCAGATTAATCCGACTTCCTCAATGAGGAAAAACAGTGTCATCTTCAGCAAACAATATACCAAAAAATGGCCAAATCTCTTTAATATGGATGATTAATGTTGTCTTCAACACCATATTATCTCCAGATTGACCCAACTTCCTCAATGAGAATGAACAGTGTCATCTTCATAAAACAATTTAACCGAAAGTGGCCAGATCTCATCAATGTGGTTGAGCAATGTCGTCTTCAACACCAAATTATCTCTAGATTGACCCAACTTACTCAATGAGATGGAATAGTGTAATCTTCAGCAAATAATTTTCTCGAAAGTGGCTAGATCTCTTCAATATGGATGAGCAGTGTCATCTTCAACACCAAATTATCTCCAAATTGACATGATTTCCTCAATGTGAAGGATCAATCTCGTCTTTAGAAAATAATTTACCAGAAATTGACCAGATCTTTTCAATAAGGATGAACAGTGTCATCTTCAACATCAAATTATCTTCACATTGACCTGACTTCCTCAATGAAAAGGAACAGTGTCGTCTTCAGCAAATAATTTACATGAAAGCGACTAGATCTCTTCTATGTGGGTGAGTAGTGTCGTCTTCAACATCAAATTATCTCCAGATTGACATGACTTCCTCAGCGAAAAGGAACAACGTCATCTTCAATGAGCAAGTTACCTAAAAACAACTAGTCCTCCTTAATACGAAGGAGCAATATCATCTTCAGGTTTGTCCTCAAGCAAATCACCCAAAGCGTCCAGATTTTCTCATTACGTAGGAGCCGTGTTGTTTCCAAAATCAAATTATCTTCAGGCAATCAAACTTCCTCAATACGAAGGAATAGTGTTGTCTTCAAATGCAGAGTCATTCAAATGTGGCTAACCGTCCTCATCACGAAGAAACAACGCCGTTAACAAACAAAGATTATATCATTTGAGATTGTTTCCCTTGAAACATAATATTCATCTTGTTCAAAATAATTTCCCTTGAAACTCGAACAAATTTTGTCTCACTTAAGACAATTCTCAAATGCAAATTTTTTATCTCACATGAGATAATTTCTTTTGAAACTTATTTTGTCTCGCTTGAGACAATTTTCTTAAAAAAATAAAGCATCGACATCGTTTCGCTTGAAACAAATTATGTCTTGCTCAAAATTTCTCCCTTGAAAGTGCAACTTCTGACATTATAAATTTTTACTCCTTTTCAAACTGTTTCCCTTAAAATAGAACTTCGAAAGAAATCTCTCTTGAGATAAAGATAATTTTCAGTATGTCTTGAGACAATATCAAATTCCAAAGAAAAAAATACGACCGAACGAAAATTGTTGCCTTGTTTTCTTTGCCTTATTTGTGTCTTCACACCAATTGGAAAATAGGGTAGCTATAGCAACCAATTTTTTGGCCCTTTTTTATTATTATTATTATTATTATTATTAACATTATTAATATATTTTATTTTACAAGCCTAAAAAAGTTATCAAGCCCTAACCTAATGGCCCAATTACAAACCGACCCAAATTATAACAAAATGGCCCAAACTAGATTGTAAACTGAGCCCAAAACACCAAACCCAAACCCAAATGAAACCCTAGATAACCTAAACCCTAGCCTCCATCATACCCTTGCCGCCACTGTCAGTCGAAACTTGTTGCCGCTGCCACTACTAGCCGGTCACTCCACTGAGCCACATCTGTTAGAAAATAGTGAAAAATCAAATCAAATCTAATAAAAATAAACCTATCTCACCAAACCCCTATAGACATCATCATCTAACCACATCAAGCCAAGCAAGCAACAGATTAAAAATGGGGCAGCAACAAAATTGAAAAGGAGACGAAAAAAAGGGGCATTTTTGGAGAAAATAGAAGATAAAAAAAGGGGACGAACAAAAAGAGAGAGAGCAAAACTGAGGAGAGAGAAGCTTACCTTTCGGTCAAGGCTCTTGACCGAAGATCAAAGCTTTCCCTCGACGATCCAGATAGAGAGAGGGCATGCAACGAAGAGAATACCAACATACTAGAAATTAGACCTATCCAAAAGTCGGATAAGGAGATCGAAGAGTAAGGATAATGAACAATTTTTGGTTGATTCATAGAAATCGAAGCATTTTTCGATAAAACCAGCGCCAGATCTGTGATCCTGACATCAGGACGAAGCTCTCTGTGAAATTTGGGCTCAGAAAACCATCAGAGGACGATGGCGCATGGTGGCCGTCACGACGACCGGCGATGAAGCATCTCGTCGGTGTCTAAAAAATAGAGAGACAGAAAAGAGAGAAAGAGAGAGAGAGAGTTGGTTAAAAAGGAGAAAATGAAAAATGAATTAACAATAAAAAATGATGAAAGGGTCTTATATAGGCGGCATAAAACAACGTCGTTTTGGTCTTCTTAGGGTCGTGGGGATATCAGTGCAAAGGGTCCTCGCAAGTTTGTAAGCTTTCATTTCAGTCACCAAATGCAAATTTTTGTTTATTATGTTTTGAGCTTTAAATTTCATTATGCTTATGATTTAGTCGTCATTCGTTTAACCTTTTTACTTCACTAATATTTATTGAATTATACTGCTGATTTATGATTCCTTCATTTTGATCGTTGTTTGAATGCTTTGGGTTATTTTCATGTCGAATCCATGTTGACTTACCCTTTAGTTAAATTTATTGTTGTCTATATTTAGTCCTTATATTTTTCTTTGTTTTATCTTAGGCCTTCTATTGTATGTATTTGTTTAATGGATTATAAGTATGAAATATTAAAATTACGTATTATAGTATTAAATGTTTGTGTGTATATATATATATTACTAAATTTTATTTTTGTTATGTCTGTCGTATGAGTATATTCATGATTATTAAGGGTACTATTTTGTATTTATTACTTATGTATTATATTTTAAATATAAGTGTTTGTTTAACATTTTAATATTCTTATAATTTTTAATTATTGTACTAACCTATGGAAGACCTCTAAAAACATGGTGAGCCCTTCCGATGGTTATTCGAATAAAATTAATATTTTATGGTTATTTAATATTTATTTATGTTCTATGATTTTTAAAAGTCCCAAATATATGTTTCTTTTTAATTAATCTTTTTCATATAGTGAAATTATTTTAATTCATGGTGTTTTTATTTATTTTAGTATGTGGTTGTTTTAGCTTATTTGTTCATTTGCCATATTATATTCACATCTCATTCATCCTTTATATGTCATCTATTATCGCTGCATTCGTTAATCATGCATTTGATTTCTCATTTTCTAAAACAATTACAACCATTGTTGTCTCGTGTCGTGAGTTAACGAAATTACGTCTAACATGGATGGATTTCACTTTCCGTTAATTCGCGTAGTAAGGGAACATTCTTTTTAAATAAATTCGAATGAATTAAATCATTTTTGTCAAGTCAAATATTTTCAAAAATAAAGATTCACTCACTTTTTTAAAAAATTTGTGGAAATAAAAGGATCATAATTTTAATTTTTAAATTCAAATTTGTCAAATTCCACCATTTTAGACAACATATATTCGAAGTTATCAATTTTGAGCGTTGTAGAAGTGCTTACCATTTCTTACGTGTAATCGACTCCTAAACCCTCTAAAATGATTCTTTGATAAACACATATCAATTTTTGTCTTTAAATGATTTTCCTTAAAATTATTTTAAAAGATATTTTTAATTATTCAACATACCTAACACAAAAGTCGATGTCGACTCTAAATTTTAAATTGGACTAAATTTATCAAAAATTTAAATTTTTTAAAAATAAAGTCATAATTATCTTTAATTTTAAAATCATTTAAAAACTGGTGACAATTAGAATATTCATAAGTTTATGGATTAGTTTAAAATGAGAATTATAGTTTGAAAAATTTATGATGTAATTGACTTATACTTTTTTTTGCAATAATATATGGCTAGTGTTCTCTGGCATTAATTTAAAACCTAACATCCAACACCCTTTTTAGGTTCCCCTTTCAACACTTATCTTTTCCCCCCATAAGCAAATGCCAAAGTCACTGCTCTTCACCGTCGTGGTTACCTTTGCCGCCATTGTCAATGCCGCCGCCGCTACGCAAGTTGCCCTACAATTCAAGGAATCCCCACAATTCTACAACTCACCGGATTGTCCTTTTGTAATAGATAAAGATCATGAATCTAATTCTGACGGTGAACCCAACATTTTGTGCTGGGATCGAGCCGTTCATGTGGCAATGACACTTGACACTACTTACATTCGAGGCACCATGGCCGCCATTCTTTCGGTACTTCAACACTCCTCTTGTCCCCAAAACATCGCCTTCCATTTCATCGCCTCCGCCAGCGCCACCGCCACCACATCTATTTTACGCGCCACCATCTCTTCCTCTTTCCCTTACATGAACTTTCAAGTCTTCCCTTTCAATGATTCCTCTGTTTCACGCCTCATTTCGACCTCGATCCGCTCAGCTTTAGACTGCCCTTTGAACTACGCTCGAAGCTACTTAGGCAATCTCCTCCCTTCATGTGTCCACCGTGTCGTGTATCTTGACTCGGACTTGGTCCTCGTCGACGACATAGCTAAACTTGCCCACACTCAACTCGGAGACAACTCGGTCTTGGCCGCACCAGAATATTGCAATGCAAACTTCACGTCCTACTTTACTCCTCCGTTTTGGTCAAACCCTTCTTTATCCTTAACTTTCGCGAACCGTAAAGCTTGTTATTTTAACACCGGCGTCATGGTGATCGACCTCGACCGATGGAGAGAAGGAGATTACACGACAAAGATTGAAGAATGGATGGAGCTTCAGAAAAGAATGAGAATTTACGAATTGGGTTCATTGCCACCGTTCTTATTAGTTTTCGCCGGAAACATAGCTCCGGTGGATCATAGGTGGAATCAGCATGGCCTCGGCGGAGATAATTACAGAGGTTTATGCAGAGATTTGCATCGTGGTCCGGTTAGCCTTTTACATTGGAGTGGAAAAGGGAAGCCATGGGACAGACTTGATACTGATAGGCCATGCCCACTGGATGCTTTGTGGGCACCTTATGATCTCCTGCAATGGCAAACTCCATTCGCATTGGATTCTTGAAGAGAACCACGTTTCTGCGTAATGTTTGTTTGCGGAGAAAGTGACGGAATCACCAAAAAAGTGTTAAGCTGGAGATCAGATAGGTGGAGGATTGAGGAAGTTAGCTGATTTAAGTTGTTTCTTGTAGATTATGGCACTAAAACAGGACCATAGTAGTAGTACTATACTGTAACCTTTTCTTCTTTCCTTTTTACGATATTAAATATCCATTCAGAAATCAAAATGCTGTAATATCAACAAGGAGTAAGAAAATCCAGATGCAGATCAATGGACTTCATCGATTTTCTTCTCCGATGTAATGATAAATGTAATCAAAACCTGTACATAAAAATTATATTTTATATATTTTTTAAGATTTTGATTTTTTTTTAAATTTAATCATAATTATTTTAATAATTAAATTTATAAAATATATAATTAAAATATATTTGATGGAAAATTCTTAAAATACGTTTTATTGATAATTTTATTAATAAAAATATATTGTTTTTCTTATCAAAAGATAATGATCACATTATTGTTGTTTTCTGCAAAAGCGTTTCCATTGTGTGTTATAGCCTGGAAGCATTAATGGAATGTGCTGTCGATGCCAAAACTTCCTCCTCTGAATCATTGAATTTGTAGGCCTCATCATCGTTAGCTGATCACGACTTGAAAAAGGTAACTTATTTTTTTTAAAAAAATATAAATATTCCAGTTAAATTAAATTAATAACTAAGACTTTATGTTTGAGTTTAATTAAATTTAAATTTTAAAATTTTGAATAATTAAAAAAATAAATATTATAATTATATCACCTTATATTTTTAGCTTCGGCTAAATAATTTAATCTGTAATGTTTTAATTGTCTAGCTGAGTTGGGTATAACTATTTGGAATTGGGTTATTGCTTTATTGGGTTCAAATTCAATCATTGTTAAAGAAAAATATGTTGGTAATTTAGTGCTATGTTTTGACACGGGTGTTGAATCAAATAATTTCGATGCACAATGGGACGAAAGTAAGCAGACGAAAATCGTCAGATCGAAATAAAAAATATATATCACTAAACTATCATTTATATTTAAAATCTAAGAAAATTTTACTCCAACTGTCTCATTAAATTTATTTCTTTTATATTTTAAAATTGTCCTATTTAAATTGTCTCTTTGAAAAAATCAATAACCTTTACTAATCACATTTTCCTTTTATCCTTTTTTTAGTTTCCCAATAAAGTAAAAATTAACTTTTTCATGAAAAAATTATCATTTTAATTTTTTACAACTCATCTATTACAAAAACTTTTTATTCTGAAAACTACGTGAAAAGTCAATAATAGACATAAAAAAAGAGACGGAGGGAGTAGTTAATTTGCAATTTTATCTGCTACCAATGTTCGTTAGGGTAATTATGATCTCTTAAACTCAATCTATACATTACTATTAGATTTAACAGATTACAATCTAAAATATTTTTAAAGCGTAGTAATAATAATGTCAGATTGAATAATATAAAACATAAAAGTCCATGAATAAAACAAAATAATGGATAATATCAAATATTGAAATAATTGATTACTTTAAAATCAAAATATGTCCAAAACAATAATATAAATATAAAATATTGTGTGTAAATACAAAATATTAAATAATCAGTATCAAAGTAACCCAAACATCAATATAGTAATATACATTAGTAGTAAAATAAAATATGTCATTAAAGCTAGTATATCAAAATATAGATTAAATACTTCGGTAAAAATTAATTTATAAAACATGTTTTTAAAATATAAACACTACCTCATCTGAAAATCAGAATGTGTAGGCTCCCCTAAACTATACACCCACATGTACACCTGGTAAGGACCTTATACATATGGCATAAGGACATGCGGTAAAGACTTATCCTGTGCAAAAAGTAGAGGGGCCTATGATAAGGTCTTAAAAATTCATAAACTAAGTCTAAAATATTTTCCCCTACAATACCCCCAATGACAATAAATATGCATGTATTTAAGCCAAAACAATAGTTTATTATCAAAACATCAAAACAATCCATGGTTTAAAATCATATTCAGAAAAATACTATAATCAGAGATCATGCTAGAAATATACGATAAATCAGAATCCAATAATCGGTACACAATAAGTCAGAGGTCATATCACCAAAATGTTTAACATCATCAAAAGTTCAGAACGGATCAGATAAATAATCAAAATAAAATTTAACACCATCATGAACACACATGTATCAGTCTGAGAAGTCTAATAGGGAAACCTATTGTCGGGTCTGTCTATCATGATCAGTGGTATTGCTAGAACCTACAAACGGGAGAAACTATATCACTAACCTAATATAATAATTAATAAACTTTATTTAAACAATTTACGAAAGCCTACGAGTAATTCTTGAAGTACGTGGATCGTGCAGATCTACTGGATAGGAAGCATCGAATGTACTCGATAGGGGAAACACGAGTACCTTCATAAAAATATATTCTCAAATCAATTACATATTCAATGCCCAAATAATCATGTAGAAATACTAAGTATTTTTGGGTTAACGGGCTTATTTATGGGCTTTCAGGTTAGAATTTGGTGAAACGAACCACAACGTCAGACTTAGGACGTCAAAAAATGTCAAGAGGGAGGCTTTTGAAAAAAAATCAACATAAATCAACTGTCAAAGTCAACCCCAATCAACGACGATCAGCTTTCAATGACAGTCAACGATCAATAGCTCAGCTCGATTTTGCTAGACCGATTTAATTTGATTCTACTGGATCAATTTGGTTAGGCAGGTTTGGGCTTGGGCCAACTAGTTTGGATTGGATTAGTGGGTTGGGTCAGATTGGTCGGGTTAACCCAATTATGGAACTCTCATCCAGGCGGTGGAAGAGCCCCAAGCACATGGTGGCATATGCGACGGCTCTAGCGGCTGAAAAAATCTAAAAAAATTAAAACTCTTAAAACAAGGTTTTGAGTCATTTACTGAACTCGGTTCAGGACGAAGAGCTCGATTTTACAATGTTAGAAACTTGTTTTCCTTCACCCCTTCAGACGTCGACGACAGCGACATCAAGGCAAACATGGATGGACTCAAGATAACGTTAGGAATCAAATGGTATGAGCGGTATAGCAAACGGAGCTACGATCGGTGATGATACAATGGTTAAAGTTTGGGCACTTAAAATTTATAAACAAATATGTATATAAATGGTATGGACAATTGATGAGAATGATGTGGTAAAGTGAGAAGTGTGGAGTGTTGTAAAAGAAACGTAAATAAAGGAATGCTATAGCAAAACATGATTGAGAATTGGGTTATGAGAAAAAACAACAAGACAAATCTCACACAAACAAGCTCTCAAGAAGGATAAAAGGCTAGGTCTATTATGGAATCCTATGCCTTGTCTTCTAGAATGGTTAACATTTTCCACTAGTATACTGCTCGATAGAGTTTGCTAAAGTGTTTCTAGGCTAACTCTAGTAAGTAACCTGATAGTAAAATGCTACAGTAATACCTCTTAGCGTAAACAGTAACAAGTTACTATCGATTAGTTAGGGTTTTACTTCTCAGCTCAACCCTATTATTCATGTCGATCTAAGCTCAACTCTCTTGATATCATGCATCAAACATAGATAAAGGCTATCTCTTGAAAGTTCTTACAAATGTAAGCATTAAAACAATGAACAAAGCAAGCATTTAAACATAGAAAATACTAAATCATCTATTCAAAAAAACATAATCATCTACAATAAGCCTACAACAAATAAAGTTAGTTCATGATGGGGTAAATATCTTCCATCAACATTTGTTTCATTACAACCCAAAAAAGATAAATAAATCTAAGAGCAAGCAAATGAGAAAGAAAAACTCCCCAGCCTGAACTACCATGGACTATCAAGAACTGCCTTTAGCACGCTAGCTTCTCTTAAAGGCCTAACATGTGATCCCCTTGAAGCTTGAAAATGGAGGAACCCACGAAGAATGAGAGAAAAAAAGAGAAGAATTAGTAGTAGCCTCTCCTACTCTATCTCTTATCTCATACTTTCCAAATCTACTTTAAATGAAGGTGTCTTTAACTATTTATAATGGGGACTCCTAGGGTTTTGTGTGCCTTAATTCCTTGTATGCCCTATGGGAATATTTCCTTCAAGTGTGGGGCACAACTGGCTGAGGGGGGATCACGTTGACAACTGGCAATAAAATATCTTCATATTATTGACCTTTTGTTCGTCCAGGAATGCCATCTAGAATTCTACAACATTTCTCCAAGTCTCCTTATCCAGTATGCTACGACATTTCTCCAAATCTCCTTCATATCCATTTACTTGCATAACTCACCACCAACAAACCATATTTCCCTTTAAACAACACCAATTTCATAAAGAAATAAAAACTAGCAAAAACACACCACTATATACATCTACATGAGCAATATGCAATTAAATGAACTTTTAAACAATCAATAACCCAAGTAAAAAGTCATGAAATATACCATTTTACGGGGTTAACACACCCCAAATTTGAGCTATTGCTTGTCCTCAAGCAATGAGTAATAGTTAACAGTAAGAATGATATAGCAAAGTTTAGATCAAGACAGTTGCATGGCATAAAATTCAGCCCTCGGAAGTATAGGCTTCAACATGCTAGACAAGTAGAGAATTCAAGAATTTTACCTTAGGACAAGATTCTTTTGCATGTGTTTGCGTAATTGTATCCAATCTATACTTAACAAAGTTAGAAAATTCTAAGCAAGCTCTCTATATTACCTTAGTATTTATTCAACCTTTAAGCACAAGTTTACTACCATTTCCTTAAAAACATTCACTGCTTTGAGGGGAGTCAGCATATCACACCTACATTCCTAGACTTGAAAATGAAGTAGAGGAAACACCCCATTCCCTAGCTTATTGAGTAGAGTCATCCTGTGACTACTTTAATTCACTCATATAATATTGATGTCATGTATTAAAGGTGGTTTCCAGGTAATGTAATGCATAGAGGAGTGTCCCTCTATAACACCCCCAACTCGTACCTGACCCGGATACGAGTCCGAGATGTCACATTGACTTTTCAACTTTGACACTTAAAGAAAACAGGGAATTTTTAAACTTTCATTAAAACAAAATATGTTAATTTACATAAAAATGACCACAAAACACAAAATTGATCAGAGCATTCATAATTAACAACTTATTACATGCCAACACTCTATACACAACCAAAATACCTACTTTGTCAATTACTTCTGATATGATCTTTTAGTAGTGATGTTGTCCTTGCAACTTCTATTACTGCTCTTCTTGTTTCTTGGTACCTACGTGTAAATCG